ACACGACATTCATTCAAACGGGCCCGGGCAAGGCCGCCAGTGCCGATGTTTTGCCTGGCCTCTGACCCGAGTATCCTTCGTCCACGAGCTCATTCAGTTTCCCAATCTTGTTCAACTCCTCCATGAGACTCCAAAGGTACTTACATTCCTCTGTGTTGACTGTGATCCCAGTGGTACTTGCAGTACTTTGGGTCACGAGGAAAACCTCCGGCTCTCATTGGTGTGAGTTCCTTGAATACTCTTTGCACTATATGACGTCCGCGATTTCCACCATCGACACCCATAGTGGTAAGCCATCATAATCTCCGTTGGCTAGTCATAACACAGTGTCCATCTCTCGTAGTACCGGGTTGATCGTGGGTCTCAATTCTTCACTTGGTCATTATGCTGGTCCTTGGTAGGCCTCGCGAGACCACGTCACCTCTTCCCTTATCCGTGAGATGTCTATGCGATTCGTGCTAGCACATATTTGGTGTACGATAGTCATTAAAAAACAATGGCCAAGAGACCTAAGCCATCAGGTTAACTCTTGCAGCGATCAGAAAAAAAAATACAAGCGATTTAACATAAATATAGAATTTCATTTCTAAATTCGAATTTTACATAACCTGACATTAACACACATTATCCATAATCACCAACCATCAGGTTAAAGATTGATGCATGCCAACCTACCAACTTTAACGCAATCAAAATTGTACTTCTGCCTTGACTACAAACTAGCAGATGAAAAGCACAAAATAACCGATCAGGAGTAACAAATATACTTTTATCCTGGCAAGAACAGCTCCATAACTAGAACAGTACATAACGAATAAATTTGTGAAGCTCAAAAATTGAGAGATCACCGATAAGGTTGACAGGCAATCCTTCTATTTTTTAGGTAATGATGTTTCAAAAACCTGGAATAACAGTAATCTTTGACTCTTGGTTAACCTGGAAGAATCCCATTCTTTGGAGATTCTATCCTCAAGTGCCACTTGTCCATATTCTGCAGATCTTTTACGCAGTACGCACAGATGCGCAGATGGTTCATTTAACATGGCACTGTCCTCTAAATTGCCATCAGATTCTTCATCCATTATATAACTAGAGTTGGTTTCATTTGCCACCACACGTGCTTCTTTTTGGTCCTGTTTGGAATCCACAGATTGTCCCAGCAGCATCCCAGAATCTTCACTGCCACCATCCATCCGCCATTTTACTGAAACGGATGACAAGCCATATGATGGAAACCCAAATTCAAATTCATCCATGTAAGTGGATATATTCTTTGGCAGTGAAGGCTGGGGTATACCAGACAACCCATATTGCACAAGTTTGTTTCCTTGTATCTGAAAAACTTGCCCGTGCATATGAACCCCTTGCTGGAGTTTATTTGAATTTTGCATAAGGCCTATTGCTCTGTTTTCCCTTTGGCTTCCACTGAATACAAAATAAAAAAACAATAATGAATAGTCAACTTTAATTATAACCTCAAATCACTATTTTGACATGTATAGACATCAAATCTTGACCAAAGAAAAGCATAATTCAACAAACAGAGATTCTAAAGTAGAAAGTTGTATCAGATTATGTATATAACAAATCCCAATATAATTGAAGAAATTAGAAGATGGAATGATACAAAAATCATGAAAAACCAAATGAAATTAGATGAAACTGGAAATTCAAAGACAGTCATAAGGAAATTATTCAAGTTTGCATAATGAGTCAACCCTGCTAAATCCTGCTATAAGTTTAATTTAGCGTTGCATTAAATTTATATGAAATGATTTTTCAACAAGTTCTTATCAGAGTATCCTTACATCGTCATCATTATTAGTTTTATCTTGATTACTCAGAGTCAGCATTATTAATCATCAATTTTCAACCAATCCTGTTGAGGGATGAATGACAATTAAACTAATTCTGCGGATATATTTCACACCAAACGTCTATTCATCCTACTTTTGCTCTTGCTATATTTCCCTCCTATTCTTTTAACATTAATTTATCTACCATCATAGGGTTACATTTACTACCCTTCAGTACATTTGTCAAAACTACCTGTTTAATAGATTCAACATCCATTGCCTCTCCTCTATTATATCAATTCACAGTTTATCCTTGATTATGCGATACATCTATCGTAATATTTTTCATTTCTTTCCACTCAAATTGACTGTAAAAAATTCTTTTACAGCCCAACGGTCAAATTAGAATATGTTGGCCACATCATTCCTTGGTAACGTTTACCTTTTAACTCTTCATGATATTATCTTAATACTTCAAGTCACTTCTCCATTTAGGGATTGTTTGTTTTGCTGAAGAAGTAATGTAGTGTAAAATGAATAAATATAATAAAAAATTAATGTATTGTATTTCAAAGGTCGGCAGCGGCGGGAGTCCAATGGCAGATGGTGTCCGGTGGCGGCGGGCGTCCGGCGGCAACGGGCATCGGCGGGGATGGCCAAAA